AAGAGAGAGATGGGCTGGGATGAAGAGGAAGGGTGTGGGGCTGAGAAGAGAGCTCAGGGGTAAAAGGGTCAATTCATTGTTCATAACCCACCAATTAATTGGGGGCAAAAATGTAATTTTATGTTGTGCTAACTTTTGTGCAGTGCAGGTACTGACATGTAATCCTAACCCAACACTGATCTGAAAATCCCAATCATTTCAAAATTTAAAACCAAAAAGTATAAGGAAACAAAAGAAACTTGTTTAACACGTTATCAGAGTTCCATATAAATAATATTCTTCATCGTAAGGCTTCGCATACCCTCTCATTCATCGATCATCCCCTCTCTCTCTCTCTCTCTCTCTCTCAAAGCTATCAAAGCTATCAAAGCCATCTTCATCTACAGTAACACAGTAAGTTCTTCTTCAAGTCCTGTCTCTCTCAATCTTCAACTGCATTGCATGTGTGTTTCTTTCAACTCCTCCTCTGTTTTCGAGACCATCATGTAACGTTCTTTGTTTGTCATAATAATCATATAGTGAGCGCAAGTAAGAAATAAGACCACCTCTTCATGTTTCAAAATTTTTAGTTGTAACTTGAATGAGGCATTTAGTATTGCCCTTATTTTGCATTGAGAGTTTCCTAAAAGTGTATTTGTTATTCTAGACTTTGCTGATCATGTTCAGGTGGCTAGTTTGGTTTGAATTTCTTTATAAGTTTATTTGATTTATCCATGTGGGGTTCATATCATTAACATTTTGTTCACCTTTTAGATGGAAAATCGGTCGACTCGCATAGCAATAGTGAACATTGACAAATGCAAGCCCAAAAAATGTAACCAGGAATGTAAGAGGACTTGCCCGGTCGTACGTACTGGTATGTATGTTATGCTACTTCTTTTTGTACATGGACTTCCTATGCATAAATGCTACTTGTTATCTATTATTAACCATATAAGTGCAGGTAAATTATGCATTGAGGTCAAACCTGTGTCCAAGGTTGCTCGTATCTCCGAAGAGTTGTGCATTGGCTGTGGTATATGTGTTAAGGTCAGTGAAGATTGTATTTTGTTTGTCTTATTTTCATCTTCTTTTTATTTACTCTAGTTGTGTTTTAACGGAGGCATTGTTTTCATTCTGGCTATGGTCATGTAGAAATGCCCATTTGGAGCAATTGAAATCATCAACTTGCCAAAGGCACTGGACAAAGACACAACCTATCGCTATGGGTCTAACTCTTTTAAATTACACAGGTCTGTTACTTCCTTACCACTTTGATCAGCTTCAGGTTTTAGTGTTTTAAGTTAACAGAGACTAAATTATACATAATTACAGGTTACCAGTCCCTAGGCCAGGGGAAGTTCTTGGTTTGGTTGGAACTAATGGCATTGGGAAGTCAACTGCTCTCAAAATTTTGGCTGGCAAGCTCAAACCAAATTTGGGTCGTTTCAATGTAATACTCTTTACATATCATCGTTTTTTCATATTTCCAATTTCTCCCCTTTTCCTCATTTTTCTCAAGTTTTGTTTGATCAATTAATTCTTTTGAATGACTATAATATATGTTCTTTATTCTTTTGTAGAATCCTCCAAATTGGCAGGAAATCTTGACTTACTTTCGAGGATCGGAGCTGCAAAGTTATTTTATTCGCCTCTTGGAAGATAAGTTGAAGGTAGGTATATAGATTATTTCATCGTTACCGGTTTTGTTTTGTTTTTATTTTTTATTTTTTGCCTAACCTTCTGTTCTTGCTCTTTTCTATGTTGAACATTGGTTGTTTCCGACACTTATGCTGTGTGTGATGTTGTTTAGTCCAGTTAATTGCATAGTCGGGCACTTATATATTATGTTTTTATTTTCCTTTGCTGTTTTATGTAATATGTTTTATTTTTCCTTTAAACAGGCTGTTATAAAACCCCAATACGTTGACCACATTCCAAAAGTAGCTGAAGGCAATGTAGGGGAGTTGCTCAAACAGAAAGATGAGAGGGGTGTGATGGAAGAAGTCATTGTTGATCTTGAGCTAAACCAGGTTCTAGATCGTAAAGTAGTCAATTTATCTGGTGGGGAGCTTCAGAGATTCGCCATTGCTTTTCTTGCTTTGCAAAAGGCAGATATATACATGTTTGATGAACCTTCAAGTTATCTTGATGTGAAACAAAGGCTTAAAGCTGCCAAAGTCATCCGATCTTTGATCGGGCCTGATAGGTTTTGTTTTCATAGCTCTCTTCTTCTCTTCTTGCCCCATTGCTTTCCTCATTGCTTATATTTGTGACATTGGGCATGTTTAAGTAATGGATGTTTTGCTTTGCTTTACATTTTCAGCTATGTAATCGTTGTGGAGCACGATTTGAGCGTCCTAGACTACTTATCAGATCACATTTGTTGTTTATATGGGAAGCCGGGTGCATATGGAGTTGTAACCCTACCTTTCTCAGTTAGAGAAGGCATCAACATCTTCTTGGCGGGATTTGTTCCTACAGAAAACCTAAGGTTCCGAGATGAATCTTTGACTTTTAAGGTAAGATAATAAATTATGTCAATGAAAATGCTGGTTTTAAGCGCTTAAATCAATATTTTTAAAGATATAAAATCATGTTGTTGTCTTGTTTGTTTAGGTTTCTGAGACTCAACAAGAAACCGGTGAGGAAATTGAGACATATGCACGGTATAGATACCCATCGATGACTAAAACGTTGGGAGAGTTCAAGCTTCAAGTTATAGAGGGTGAATTTAGCAATTCTCAAATTATTGTGATGTTGGGTGAGAATGGATCCGGGAAGACTACATTCATGAGAATGCTGGTACGTACTAGTCCTAACATTTTCACTCTTTTTAATCAATTCAATCATTTGTTAAAATTAAATTGCATCTTGATATATACGTGGAGTCATTGCATACATTTGATTTGTTCATTTTGTAGGTTGGCCTATTGAAACCTGATTCTGATGTGGAGATACCTGAGCTTTGTGTTTCCTACAAGACCCAGAAAATTAATACAAAGCGGGCAATAAAAGTCAAAGACATGCTTCATGAAAAAATTCGCGATTCCTGTACACATCCCCAGTTTGTGACAGACGTGATGAAGCCTCTTCAAATTGGGCAATTAATGGATCAAGATGTTACCAAACTCTCTGGTGGAGAGCTGCAAAGGGTTGCTCTATGTGTATGCCTTGGAAAGGTAACTGATTGATTTTAGTTTACCTAAGTTTACAGCAATAACAGATTAAGCGCACAGTATGATGCATCTGCTTTGAACTTAACTTATGCAGCCTACTTTTTGCTTGATATTGCAGCCTGCAGACATCTATCTGATAGATGAACCAAGTGCATATCTTGATTCTGAGCAGCGTATCGTTGCAGCAAAAGTCATAAAGAGGTTCATCCTCCACGCCAAGAAAACTGCGTTCGTGGTTGAGCATGATTTCATTATGGCTACTTACTTGGCCGACAAAGTCATTGTCTATGAAGGAAAGCCATCAGTTGATTGTATTGCAAATTCTCCACAATCTTTGTTGACTGGGATGAATCTCTTCTTATCTGTAAGTCTTGCAGCTTGTTTAATTTACCTCCTTGCCTTGCATATACTTTGTCCTCCAATTGAATGTAACGTAATTTTTGTTGTTCTACGATTTGATTCTCTCTTTGTTTTTCCAATGTGGCATTGCAGCAACTGGATATCACATTTAGACGTGACCCTACAAACTATCGCCCAAGAATCAACAAGTTGAACTCAACCAAGGATAGGGAGCAAAAAGCTGCTGGGTCCTATTATTACTTGGACGACTAAACTGGAACACTGTCCAACATGTTCGAGACAACAATTCCCCCTCTCCAACTCCAAGGGTGGGACTCTATGGGACTCCTGATAATAGAATTGTCATAAAACTGTCCCAAACCAAAGACAAAACATACAAATAGACTTTGGGCACTTTTCAGATATGGAATAGATGACTAAATAAGTGTTACCCTTGTCGTTGAGCAGTTACTATGTCTGTCAGCATCACCACATTGACAACCCCTCCACATTTGGCAAAGAACAATGACAAAGCTTCTTTAGTTGCTGAAAAATGTACCTGTTTTTTTTTAATTTTTTTTTTTCCAAATAGTACATGGTATGCTTATGAGATATTTTGAACATCAAATGCAGAATTTGAAACATATTAAATAAATCAGAAGGAATAATAGCAATATCTCCATGGAAATTAATCACAAATACCTTTCACTTTATTTAAACAAAAGCGTTCTACAACCCCTGCTTCTGGTTAGATTAACTTAGAAGTGAACTCAAAGCGAGGATAACAGGCATGAATCGGCACACCCCTCTGGTTTCCATCTTTTACTATCAACTGCTTTACTTAGAATTACAATCCAACCAACCTTCCTTCAATTATTTTATGTTGGCAATACAATCAGGCTCCTCTCAACACACTACTGTGAGCTTTAATGTTTCCCCCAATTAAAGTCAAGGCCTCCACATACTCTATGGCCATCTTCTAAGGTTCACAAAGTATTTCGACTTAAAACAAAGACTGAAGCAAATAACTCAAATAATTTAAACCTCCAAACAACATAGAAACATAAATGTGTGAAAAACCCTTCAATGACGATTGGTACTGTAAATCCCCATATGGAATGTCACCTTTTCAGACTTAGTTTCTAAATTATCATATGATTCCATCTCCAAGGTACATGACAGTCATCATAGAAAGTCCATCAATAAGCTTTGTTAACAAAAACAAACGACAGCTGTGGAGAAGAATTAATAAGAAAAAAAAGTACTAATAGATAAGGAACAAACAATTTAGTGAGAAAACCAATGCTGATTATCTTAGGGGTGCTTAGGTGTGTGTATTTACCAACCAAAAAAGAGCAAAAAAAGGAGCAACATACACAAATAGCTTACATTTGTTACTAATACAGTTCTTGTGCGTCAACCTCAACGTTATTCTCTGGATACTTTAATATACCTGAAAATGCACAAATGCATTAGATTCCTGAAAAGTTCAGGCTTCTGGGGACAACAATGATTGCCAGTTAGTAAAGCTAGATCAATGAAATGATTATCAGTCAAGAGAGGAAAAATATGCATTTTAATGAGGAAGAGCAGAAGAAATCCTAGAGACCTAATTACAAGTCTTTATAATGGTTAAATATTTTTCATAACATGTTTGTGTTTCTGAGAAAATTTTACTTTGCTTAAAAAAATTGAAAAATCCATAACAATGCACAAAATCAGATTAAGACCTTATGTGAATAATCCTCACATCATAGTGTTAGCCTTCATCCTATGCATAGATAATTGAAGAAGTTCCAGACATACATTAAACTATCCTGCTACATTTGCCTCTTTTAAAAAAAACAAAAAGAATATATCTGCCTCCTGCATAAACTGTTTATGAACAAAAAATTTAAAATATAGGTTACATAGCTGACAAGACAAGAAAAATCAAAGAAACAGAAGAACACTGGCCCATACAGAGATCAAAAGCTTTTTTCTTTTTCCAGGTACTGAGCTTGTAAACACCATCGCTATAGTTTCATTCTATCACACATCCACCCAAAACCACCTGCTCCCCCTACTTTCCCACACGCACACACACATGTATTGTAGTTCTGAACAAAACTGAAAGCATTTATATGTAGAAATGAGCTTCATATTTTAGCAAATTGATCCAAGTTACACAGAGGCTTTACCAGAATTCGACAAATGAATCATTTTCCTTTTCATCTTTTTTCTCCATCGCTAGCTGCTTTGAATGAAGCTTTAACATTTCCATTTCAATTTGATGCAATCTTTGTTTCACATCAAGCACTTCTGGGGGCAAGATATTCAAAACAAGTCTCTTACCAATTCAGTCAAGGAGGAAAAAAAGAAGTTGATTCTCAAAATCCAATCTATCACACAATTCAATCCTCACAGCTAGCACAGGCTTCAGATTCGCAGTAAATTTATCTTATATCAACTATGATCTATGAGGAAAAGAACATACCGATACCACGCTTTGAGTAGTCTTCAGACCATTTTTGGTTAAGTTTGATTTTTTGAAATCCTGTGAGATAAGTTTGCATGGAGGATACATGTTTCTCTCATGCACCAAAGAAACTGAACTAGTACCAGGGTCTGTACTGAGTTCACCAAAGAGCCTCTTCCGCCCAATATTGTTTGCAATATGCGGTCCACCCACTGCACTACCACCATGCTCCACTTTCTTTGTCTCAACAGGGTAACCGTAAGACCTCTTACCAAGAGATCCAACGGGTGAGGCATCAGAACCGAGGGGGGGGTGGGGAGGGGGGGGGTGGGGGGGAAAGAGAGGGGGAAAGAGAGGGGGAGGAGAGAGGGCCGGGATGAAGAGGAAGGGTGTACGGCTGAGAAGAGAGCTCAGGGGTAAAAGGGTCAAGTCATTGTTCATAAGCCTACAAAACAGAAGGAAGAGGCCCACCATTTAAGTGGGGGCAAAAACGTAAAATTTATGTTGTGCCAACTTTAGTGCAATGCAGGTACTGACTTGCTATCCTAACCCAATACTGATCTAAAAATCCCAATCCTGTAACAATTTTTGTTTGTCATAATAATCATATAGTGAGCGCAAGTAAGAAATAAGACCACCTCCTCATCTTTCATAAATTTTAGTTGTTAGAATTGAGGATTTTAGTTGTTGCAAGCTTCATACGAGTACTCAATATCTTCCTACAAGTGTATTATTCTGGACTTTACCGATCATGTTCAGGTGGCTAGTTTGGTTTGAATTTCTTTATAAGTTTATTTGTTTTATTTATTTATTTTAATGCGGTCATTGCATTCATGTCTTTCAATCATCTCTCTCACAATGCTTTGAATCTTGGGTGATCAACAAAATTTCATGTTCTTTTGAACTTGTTCACATTTATCTTGGTGATCTTGTCTAAACCTTTTTCCTTAGTAGCAAGGAATACATTCTAGTAATTTTAGATGGCTTTTTTGGGTTTACATGGATCTCATTCTTGAGTGATAATTTGAATTTTTTTTTCAAAAATTCAATTATGTGGGTCACTTTTTGCATAACGAAAAGTTGACTAGTCATCTGCCAATATTCAGAGTTCAAACATAACCGTGAGACTGAGTTTGAGAAATTCATTTATGTTGGCAACAACCTTGCTGTGTGGCATTGTGAGAAATATAATTATGATTTTTTGTTCATAGCAAAGGTTGAGTTCTTTTGGATGAAACATATGTTGGATGACCATGCTTTTCAACAATCATTCTTTCTCATCTATTGTGATAACCTGAGTGAAATAGATATCTCAAAAATTCATGTCCATCACTCAAGAACCAAACCTTTTGACATAAGATATCATTTCATTAGGGATCTTGTGGAAAACAAAGTCTTAAGTTTGGAGTTTGTTCCTTTTGAAAAAACAACTGGCAGATATACTTACCAATGCTCTGGATTTTTTTTTTATTTTTTAAAACACGTTGCTATGTGAAAATCCATTGGCTTTGCTCTATTGAATGATTAGTATTTCTACTTTGACTAGTCATCTCATGTCATAGTCATCTCATGTCATTCTTTTTAAAAAAAAAAAAAAATCAAAATAATTGATGATGTATGTGATTTGTTCCTCAAAAGGATCTGATGGTGTGAAAATTGGATGGTGTTAATGTCACAGTTGTTATGTGCATAATCCCCTTGCTTGTTTAGAATCATTGAAAGAAATCTAAGTGGTGTTGGCTTATCTCTTGGGAGATAACTATCTTTGCTTAAGCTCTGTTATTTTGTCCACACAAATCATAAAGAAAAATGAAAAATAATATTAAAAAAAGAGGAAGAAGTGTGACCAATGTAGTCGTGGCTCTAGGAAGTTATAAGGTGTTTTGATTGAAGAATCTAGAGCGAAGAGCCGCAAAATTGGGTCATTTAAGCACTTGAGTTTGGGATGTGCAATGAAAAATATATTTTTTAAAGTGTTTGATGATCTTGTGCATTGTTTATGTTTTAAAGGTCAATTTAAGATACGACTTTTCTAAGAGTGAAATCATTTCATTACTTGCCTCTTTGTGTCTCCGATCCTCCATATCCTAAATATGCACTGCAACTGAGTCTATCTCTCACCTTTATTTTGAGTGCTTATATGGACTGAGCATATGTGTTTTTCAAATTTCTTCATGCATATGTCATTTCATTTTTTTTCTTATGTTTTTGAAATGTTTAATATGCTGTAGTGTTTGTATAGGCTTAGCTACTCATTTGGTAACATGGTTTGTCTGCTAGTATTTCATTTGTTTTGAAAAACCAATTGTTTTCCATAAGGTTTTTGATGGGAATGGTTGCTTTGCATGACTAGTCATCTACACTAGTCATCTGAATTGAATGGTTCTCTTTTTTTTTTTTGTGGCTTAAGACTTCATGATTCTTCCGAACACAACTTTTTACTTTCTAGGGTCTGTACTTGAGCATTCACCACTCTCTTATTCCTTGGCTATGTCTCTAGCCGTTAAGTCATGTTGTATATGCTTAATAAGGATCTTGTGACTTTTGGTGAAATTAATTTTCACTCTCTAGGAACCAAGACCATTGGTTATGACACAAAACACAAAGGCTCACTTGTCTTCTCCCTGTCTCATTTACACCCTCTGTTTGAACACTAGTCATCACTTGATGTTATGCGTTTCTGGGTCTATGTTCTTGCAATTGAATAGTCATCGCTTGATTTTATCATTTTGCAGAGCATGCTAATTACATGTGCATCTGTATTATCTACTATGTCCATTTCCTGGAAATATTTTGCATCAATGTCGACAGCAACCTTGATGCTCTAAAAGACATCCTCCTGAAAACTCATATATATATATATAAATGTAAACATTCCATTCCATTCTAAGTTTCAGATCAAAACTAATCTACCATGCATCCATGCATCAGATTTACAGCACAGTTATATGTAGATTCCTGGAGGTGCTTGTTACTCCACGCAGGTAGTTTTTCAATCTGAGTTTGTGTTACCGATGACATCCTAATTATCATCATCAACAACCTCTCTTCCAGAGAAGCCGCAACAACTTCTATCATTTGCCCTGCA